CCTGGATTCTATCCTCTTGGAATTTTTTTTATTCAAAAAATATGTATGTATGTGTATGCAAGTATGTATATATATTTATATATTTTGCATATGTGTGTATATTTACCACTAATATTATCTATCTATCTATATATATATATATATATATATATATATATTTACGCGCCTCAAGAAGTCTGGTTGAACTATGAAGTGAGTACGATCCCCAGTTAGTGCCAGTAACAAGGCTAGAAAGTGATTTGATTAAAAACTTGAAACAATTTCATAATTTTCTAGTTAAAAAAAGAACAAGAAATTATCAAATTTTAGTTAAACTTTAAAGTCGACGATCAGTTATTTTACATTAATTTTATTTTTTTACATTATTTTTTATTTTTACATTATTTTTATTTTGTATATTATTTTTATTTTTTACATTATTTTTATTTTTTTACATTATTTTTTATTTTTTACATTATTTTTATTTTGTATATTATTTTTATTTTTTACATTATTTTTATTTTTATATTATTTTTATTTTTTACATTATTTTTATTTCTTATATTATTTTTATTTTTTTACATTATTTTTATTTCTTATATTATTTTAGTGGGTGTATCGATCTTCTTTGAAACTTATTTATAAAATACAACTTGGAAATTTGTTTTTCACATTTTTCACTATTACTTGCTTGTGTTTATGCATTTAAAATTATTAGTTCCATATTTATTATTTTTAATATTTTATATCAGCATAAATGAATATTTTCTAATATTGATATTATTTTCTTGTATGATTTCTATGGCTAATATCTTATTTGTGACTTAGATTTAATCATATTTATGAGATTTTAATATTAAAATATATCATCGTTATTATTATTATCATTTTAAAATATTTTATTATTATTATTATTATTATTATTTATTAAAATATTTTATTATTATTATTATTATTATTTATTAAAATATTTTATTATTATTATTATTATGATTTTTTATATTAAAATATTTAATTATTTGATTATTATTTTCATATTAAAATATTTTATTATCAATATTATTATTATAATTTTCATATTAAAATATTTAATTATTTGATTATTATGACTATTTTCATATTAAAATGTTTAATTATTTTATTATTATTATCATATTAAAATATTTTATTATTTTATTATTACTATTTTCATATTAAAATATTTTATTATTCCATTATTATTTTTATTATTATATTCAAAATTCCATTTTTTCATTATTTTATTATACTTATTCTTATCATTTCCATATTAAAATATTTAATTATTTTCTAATTATTGTTATTATTATTATTTTCATATTAAAATATTTAATTATTTTATCATTATTATTATTATTTTCATATTAAAATATTTTATTATTATCAAGGTAACAAATATATGTATTCTGTTTGCGCGAATTCTTATATTAAATATATTCTCCTGAGTAGATTTATCAGTTCTACATACTGTTAAATATATTGAATCATCCGTTAACGGAGACTGACAGAAATCATCTAATAAATATTCTTCTTGTCCCCCCCTTTTTTTATCGTACCCAACGTTCAAAGAAGAATATCTTTTAAGTACCACCATTTTTTCAGTTTCAATTACAACTTCCTTATATTTTATTTTGTCAAAAATAGCAGTCACCTCATACCATTCTATAAGTGGTTCAGAATGGTATTCATACCATATTTCAGCACGTAGTACGCTATACTTCTGACATTATTATTATTATTATTATTATTATTATTATTATTATTATTATTATTATTATTATTTCCTTTGATTTCTGTTGTATACACATTTCCTTCCGGGTCCCAACCAGAGACCTAAGGTCAGAAATGTCATCATGACATTTTCCACTGATCATTTTTTTATAAATAAAAAAGGGGGGGCAACCTAAAATCATACGCATTTTACATAGATAAAACCCTTCGTAAGTTGTGAGCTGCAGTTGTCAGTGCAATGTTTTGTATTTCTTTAAGGCATAGGTTACCAAGGGTCCCTTCAATGAGTCTATCGGAGGCTTTTCCAGTCAAACCGACGCCTCCAACTACAACTGAAATTATTGATGTCCTCATTTGAAACATTTTTGAGATTTACTATTATTATTATAATTAATAAACAAAATTATTGACGTAACATTTCCAATATTTTGCAACACTTAGAAAAGAGTTCGATTTAAGAAAAGACACAGTGCTTGATAACGTTCAACAATGTTTCGACAGTATGTCTGCCTTCAAGTTATGTTTAAAAATTGCATACAAGTATAAAAATATTAAAAAAATGTAAGTCTTTTGTACAAACGTAGAAGTTTTTTTTTCTTAAATTGCGTTCTTTTCTAAGGATTGTTTTATTATTATTATTATTATTATTATTATTTAATTAACAAATTTAATACCTTTGATTTTATTATATTTCTTATTTATTTTGTTACGGTCAAAACTAGTCATGAAGTCAAGTTTTCACAATCTCTGAAGTTGGTCAGTGTCTAAGAGTTTAAACAATGATTATAAATCATATTTGTTGAGATTATGAATTAAAACGGCACTTATAATATACGCTTTAATATTAATATTTATTTAATATTAATATTTTTTTTCCATATAAGATTATTTTCTAATATAAGACTTTGGCTCATGACTGGCGAGTCTGTTCTGACTGGACATTACCACTGAGTAGTGTCTAATATATATATATATATATATATATATATATATATATATATATATATATATATATATATATATATATATATATATATATATATATATATACTGACTCTTCCGTCGAATTCGGCGTATGAGGGTCAAGCAGATCAGTTCCTAGGAAGTCGACAGCCCGACAACTGCACATGAGATTTGATTATAGTGGTGAAGGTTTCGTGCAGGACCATCCACACTTTTTGAAAGGCCGAATACAGAGACCTGGTGCACTAAGTGCTACAGGATCCCCAAATGACCATATGCAGGTTTTGAACTCAGAGTTGTCTTTCTCCTAGTTGCCATCCAAGGCTATAGAACCCAGTCTGTCTTGCTATTTTACCCATACCTGGAGGGAGAAGAAGACGATTCACACCTTTCCCAAGGGTATTAGAACGTAAATGAATGTAACGGATCCCATTGGAATTCGAACTCGGCTCTCCGATTCCTCAATCCGAGCCTCTATCCATTAAACCACCGTGCCCACACACACACACACACGCGCGCGCGCGCGCGCGCGTGTGTGTGTGCATGCATGTATTTATGTACCCGGAACATAAACAGAATGATTTAATGTACTTTTTTTTTTAAGTACTACAATATTTTTATTGCACTAAGTTATTTTAGTGGATGACGGTGTTTGCATGTGCACCTGTTTCTTTACAAACAGCGAATTAAATGTCGACCGGCCTCGATCATCAAAAGATTTAATTTTAGTAAAAGAAAGACAATCAAGATAGAGGTTTCAACCAGAAGTTGAATTTCTTAAAGACGTTAAAAAGGGGGGGGAGCAATGTTTGCCGTGAGAACGCCGGTGGCACAAAACGTTAACGGCACGCCCGGCACACGTGCTTTCCCAAAATAAAAAGAAAATGCTGGTTCGATTCCTAGAGAGAGATGGATTTAAATTTCGATGATCTACCGCGGAAGACGTTAATTTCAGTTTGTAAATAAACAGGTATATCTATAAACGAATTTTGTAAATTAACAGAGAGATCTAGTCAAAAACGTGTATTCACGAAAATAATATTTATATATATATATTTTTTTAAATTTATTTATTTATATATATATATATATATATATATATAAAGAGACTAAGTGGGTCTATATTGAAATGATAAAATCATCATTTTTAGCATCTACTAGAACATCCAGGAAAAGGATTCGATTTTTTAAAGATGAGACTTAAGCAACATAAACAAACACTTCTGTGTGTGTGTCTTTGTGTGTATGTGTGTGTGTGTGTGTGTGTGTGTGTGTGTGTGTGTGTGTGTGTGTGTGTGTGTGTGTGTAAAGATTTCAAATATAATTAAAAAATGTATCTATAAGAAAACAATATAAATAAAGACTAAAGTAAAAATTATCGTAGTTGACGCGTTTTGGCCTCTGAAGAACTTTTGCCATATAAAGTCCCTCAGAGGACGAAACGCGCCGGACATGCGAAATTTTGCTTGTCTTCATATATATATATATATATATATATATGTGTGTGTGTGTGTGTGTGTGTGTGTGTGTGTATGTGTGTGTGTGTGTGTGCGTGTGTGTGTGTAACTGTAATTTATTCGTTTAAATGTTATATATATAGTTACTCATGTACAGCTACCAATAAATTAATCCAAGGACTTGAAAGGATCAAAATTGAAATAAATAGACATATGCCTAAATTGTTTAATCAAACCTGCTTGAATATATATATTTTTTCTTTTATGCTTGGAAATGTGATCTAAGGAACCAGGAAAACCTGGAGAAATAAAATATAATCAATGGGCCCTTAAGGTTATCTGTTTTTTAATTAAACTGATATATATATATATATATATATATATATATATATATATATATATATATTACTTAAATATTACTTTTAGTGGATACTCGTATTTGAATAGACGCTCCGTTTATTTGCTTAACTTTTTTTTTATTTTCATCTACCAACCTGCATAATACAGTTTAATAAATATTATAACGTTGTTACAACTATGTTAAAATTATAAGGTCACTAATCCTGAATGTAGTAAATCAATGTATTGTTATTATTTTTGTTGTTGCTTTAGTTATTATTATTATTATTATTATTATTATTATTATTATTATTATTATATTAAAATCAGATACATTCAGTGTATATCAAACAGAAAATAACTTATAAGCAATATTTTTTTTATTTGAAAGATAGAAAAATCAAAATAATGCCTATCTTAAAAGTATCGTTACTTTAAGAAAGAAAGAAAGAAAGAAAGAAAGAAAGAAAGAAAGAATGAAAGAAAGAAAGAAAAAGGAGAAATGAAAGAATTATGAGCAAGGTGGAGGAGGACGAGAGGGCGGAGGGTTTTCGGGATGTCGCTTTGCTTGGATTTCTACGTATGACGTCACAGATGGGAACGCTTCGAGATTAGACTCCGCCCATCTTCAGTTGAAACAACAGTGGAAATAGGCAGTTGGGGAAGGGAAAAGTAGCAAATGTACAATTAATAGAAATCATGTTTTCGTGTCAGCAAATAAAAACGTCAACGGCTGTTGGTTTGTGACGTGTGGAGAGAGTTGCTTGGATGCGTACGTGAGTGCTCAGCATCTCTCTCTCTCTCTCTCTCCCTCTCTCTCGCTCGCTCGCTTGTTCGCTCTTTTTCTCTGTCCCCCCTTTCTTTTTTTCTCTTTCTCTGTCCCCTCTTTCTCTCTCTCGCGATATGCATCACTGCATGCTACTATCTATCTATCTATCTATCTATCTATCTATCTATCTATCTATCTATCTATTAAATTCTGTTCATTATCTATCTATCTATCTATCTATCTAATTCTGTTCATTATCTATCTATCTATATAATTCTGTTCATTATCTATCTATCTATCTATCTATCTATCTGCCTATTTAATTCTGTTCATTATCTATCTATCTATCTATCTATCTATCTATCTATCTATCTATCTATCTATCTATTTAATTCTGTTCATTATCTATCTATCTATCTATCTATCTATCTATCTATCTATCTATCTATCTTTAGTTTAATCTTTAACTTAATCCTGTTGCATGCGTTTAAAAATCAAGTTTTTCCTTACTCATATTTCTAGATCGGTGTTCCATAAGTTATACACCCGAAAATGCCGGAATATGCACACACACACATATATATATATATATATATATATATATATATATAGATAGATAGATAGATAGATAGATGTGTGTGTGTGAATAAAGACAAAAGGAAAATGTTTTTTACCAATGCGTTTCGATCTCTGAACGAAACGTGTTGGTAAAGTTTTCCTTTTGTTTTTATTCATATTGTTTTTTACAGATATATTTTATGTATAACTGAATTTTATATATGTGTGTGTGAGAGAGGGTATTTAGGCAAGCATGTTTCATTGAATACTATAGACATATTATGTCTATTTATTTCTATACTGATCTTTTCCATTCTTCATATAACCCCAAATTAATGTCATAAGGCTAATATTCGGGTTTAATTTTATAAAACTTCTTCCCTTTTAAGTCAAATCCCTTCCACCCTCCACTGACTCCTGTCTCGTGCCTTTCGTCTGACTGAAACATTGAAATTGATAAATTCTGTATTCATTTTTCGACAGGTTGATTTTTTTTTTATTATTTCACAGTTAAATTTCTATTTCTGACACGAACTCAGTTCACACCGGGGTTGACAAGACAGACGACTGATATCATCGTCTGCCGAAACAGATTATTTTATTGTTTATTAATTATTTACTCTGTAATAATAAATACACAGTGTTATTTTTGTGGATCAACTTTAATATTTTATATTACTAGGATCCACTTGGATTATATACCAATGGATGTGTTACCTTTACTATATATATATATATATATATATATATATATATTGATGCATGTTTCATTAAATAATATAGAGAAGTTTTGTCTATTTATTTTATGTAAATTCTTTTCATATCCTCTGATAAGTTTAATAACATTATTCATTAAATACGAAAGAAAATCACCATATTGATACATATTTTTTAATCCTATCTAAGCTTTTGGCTTACATAAGCCATTATCAAAGATGACAATTACATTACAATATATTGAACAATACACGGATATAACAATAAGGATAGTCTGTTTTTGTTTGCATGAAAGATTTCCAAGTAACAACAAACTCGTGCATACTAGACGCTGGAAGCGAAAATCGCACCGCGGCCCATGACGTCACACATGACCACGCGAGAAAACAAGAAGTATTAAGTAGGGAAAGCCGTTGGTATAAATATATTATGAAATACAATAAGTCTGACAATTATGTTAATATATTTATTGTTTATACGTTATTTTTGCAGATAAAATATTTAAGTAAACACTCTGTTTATAATAAACAGTATTAACAACATTTACAGGCTTGAATGTCCGAAAAATCTCAAGTGGAACGTGTATCCTACACGGAACCGTCATATAGACTGACGTGCTATACCATTTAGCTACAGGGGAAGCAGTAATTCGACCTTGCTAACCAGATTTGAATATTCGAGAAATCTTATTAAAGAAGAGAATCTGACGACGCAAAGGGGAGCGTTGGTTCAAATCTTGTCAGAGGGTGCTTTTTTTCTTTAATAAGAATTTCTTTCATATCCAGTCCGGTAAACGAGAATAAATTACCGTTTAAAAAATAAACAGGGCGTCTACTCAAATATGGTTTTCCACTAAAAATAAGGGATCTTTTCTGTTAATTCATCCCAAATAATGTAAAGTTACTTATCGCAAATATTAATTATATTAAAATAAATTTAATTTTATTATCATAAATTTAAAATCAAAGTTTTGTTTTAATTAAATTTTCGACGCTCATTTTAAATCAAAATTTGTTTAGATTGCTTCGCAGCAGTTTCAAGGAGTTATTCACATTTCGTAAATGCGGATATACGAGATACTTACAAGAAATTTTTTTACAATTTAAAAAAAAAAAGAAAACAATCCGTTTTGGGGTTGTGAATCGAGATGAGTGCGAATGTAGAGCCCCACATTTAGAAATAGCGCCGCCGAGGCGCCCACATTTTGGGCGATCGCAAAGGTCGACCCAACCGGAATACAATGGAAGAGATGTTTCTTCTCTAAAAGAATTCGGTGTGAATTTTAGTAAATATAAATTCTTTTTATTTTGGGGTGAATAAACAGAAAATATCCAAAATAACCTGTATATTCTATATTTCATTTTGTCATACATACATACATACACATATATATATATATATATATATATATATATATATATATATATATATATATAATTATTATTTATATAAAAATTATAACATAAGTATGTTATAAAATCACTACAAAATAGCCATTTTGTTTCAACACACTCGGTGTCTTATCAAGTGATGATGTTGAAGATAAAATAAGCTATGTATACTTAGATATATATGTTGATGATGTTGAAGATAAAATAAGATATGTATACTTAGATATATATGTCTTCAACTGAACTATATATATATATATATATATATATATATATATATATATATATATATATATATATATATTCAAGATATATATGTCTTCAACTGAACTTGCATATATATATATATATATATATATATGCAAGTTCAGTTGAAGACATATATATCTAAATATACATATACGCCTCATATATAATATTCAATATATATATATATATATATATATATATATATGTGCAGGGGTTGCGGAATATAAATCCGATAATTCCAAAGGCTGTGTAATATCATTAGTAAATACTTTCGTCCATAATCGAATGAAAATTCAATTTCATTTACAAAACAGACGACAATGAAATAATGAATATGGAATATTCATTTCCATTACAAATGCTCAGGGGACCCAGAAACATTATAATAATCTAATTTATTTAATAGGTTTTTGTTGCTGTTGTCGTTGTTGTTGTTGTTGTTGTTGTTTTATTTCCGTTTTTTTTTTTTTTTTGTCTTTTTTTTTTTTTTGTGGTATAATTTCTTTTCTTTTAATGCCACCCGAGTAGAAATATTCAACTTAACTCTTAACGTGTATACGATAGCGTTACATTTTCTTTTGCCCCGGGAACAGGCGCTCTAAGCACATCATCTGTTGTAATTTGTAGCTCGGTAATTTTATGCTCGGCTCCCAGTACCCCTTTTGTCCCTCGACACGTAAATACACACACAAACACGCACTAGCACCCGTACCATTTCAGCACGAGTAATCAGATACATATATATGATTCTAATGTCGGGGTTGTAGTTATTTACTGCAGTCAGGTTTTAATGTGATCAATGTTAATTAAACAATTCCATATTATTCAAAATAAGATATCTTCTATTCTGACAAAAGGTCACAATTGTGTGTTACCCAGTAAAGGTAGATCTCACTAAAATACCAACTGCCTGCCCGGCTAAATTTACTAAGAACTACACCACAACGAACCAGTCTCTCTCTCTCTCTCTCTCTCTCTCTCTCTCTATCTATCTATCTATCTATCTATCTATCTATCTCTATCTCTCTCTCTCTCTCTCTCTCGCGCACTATTTGTTTTTCTCACACTGTCTATTTCTCTCTTCCTTCCTTCACTACCTCTCACTTTATCTCTTTATCTCTCTCTCTTTCTCCCTTTCTCTGAGAGAGTTACTTTACTTATTAAACATACATTTTGCAGTAGGTGTCTATGAATCATAATCTATGTAGGTATAAATATATACTTACGCATATACACATAACCTTATGATACATACAGTATTAATGCCTCCCAGAAGCTAAGCAAAGTATTAAGAAACAGAAAAATCTCGTTCGAACCCATGAAGAAGTACTGATTTGTTACGTAACATTACTGGACATTCTCCTCACTAATAAAAAAGAAACTTGAAAAAGAAATGTGGTTCTACGGAAGGGTGCCATTAACTGAACATGTGAGCAACGACGAAGTTTTAGAGAAAATGGAAACAAAAAGGACACTTATACTTAACATCAGAAAGAGAGAGTTGAAATTTCTAGGGCACATAATGAGGAAAGAGGGCTTGGAAAATTTGATACTCACAGGACAGATTGAAGGCAAAGAGGGATAGAGGAAAACAACGCATAACCTACCTAGCAAGTTTTAGAGAAAATGGAAACAAAAAGGACACTTATACTTAACATCAGGAAGAGACAGTTGAAATTTCTAGGGCATATAATGAGGAAAGAGGGATTGGAAAATTTGATACTCACAGGAGAGATCGAAGGCAAAGAGGGATAGAGGAAAACAACGCATAACCTACCTAGAGAGCTTGAGCAAATGGATGGTAGAACAAGATTTAGGTGAGATAACAAAAAGACAAAATTTATTAAGAACTACAAATGATAAGAAATCGTGGAGAGCCATAATCGTCAAGATCCTGAAGTGACCAGTTTTGTTTTATTAATACTGCGAATTTTGGAATACCGTTACCTTTCTTCCTTGGCCGGTCAAAAAAAGAAAAGAAAAAAATTTCCAGAAAAAGGTTTGACTTTTTAATGGTCACCTTAAAATCCAGCATTAAAAGTTTCTGGTATTAATTATAAGTTTATAAAGGCTTACGGCCATATCACTTGAAACACCGGTTTCCGTACGATCACCGAAGTTAAGCAATGTCGACCCTTGGGGAAGGTATGAGTCCACCTCTTCTCTCTCCAGCTATGGGTTAATTAGTGGAACTTGTATCAGTAAATCATTATTATCTTCCAAAATTTCTTAAAATCCAAAATTATTTTCTGTATTTAAATAACCTGCAAAAGGTTGGTAAGCCGTAAAAAAACAAATCAATCGATCACATAGGTTTATAAAGAAAATTCTATCGATAATCCATTAATGCTCAGAGTCTTATTTGGGAGAGTGGGTATTAATTGTCTAACATCGGGCCTCACTATTTCAGGCGATTATGATTCATCGTAACTTCTTGGGGAAAAAAATGGTGGAATGGCTTCCTCGTTGTCTTCCTCGATGGTTTTGAATTTAAAGTTTTCCTTGTCCGAAACTTGCTGCTAGCCAAAAGTAGAAAGCTATATCTACCATTCTATTTAGCCGCTTAGTTGCAGGAAAAGTAGAAGAGATAGATTCCTGCCTTTCCCGAGAGCATTAGTGTAAAAAATGAATACAGACGTTTTTACCTTGTAATTTTCAAAGTATTCAGTTCGATTATCATTTGCTGCTATTTTTATGCGACGCTTCTCAGACATATCTAGAAGGAAATTTACTTCCCTGTCGCCTCTAATTTGCACTCCATTGGTAAGTTACCGCGTCGTTGTATTCCTCTTATTGACCTTAATCATTCGTGTATAATACACACTTTTCCTCCATATTTTAAGCCTAAAAATCAGGAGTTTGTATCATCCACAAGAACGAAAAACTAACTTATCTTCCAGCAAGATGCAACATCATACACTGGGTGCTATGACCGAAAGTTTAAATCAATAACTATTCACTCATGGATTCGTTAAAGTAATACTCATATTCATGTTAAGTACATTTAGTTAGTTTCACAGCTATCCGTATCAAAGATAGACATCATGACAGTTTCATCAATGTTGTCAACGTAGTAGATGCCTTCGTCATTTTCAATGTTGCCGACGTCCACTGAGTCATTTTGTCCTTCTTTCTCAAAACGGAAGTAATAGTAATATCCACTTCTGTTTGACGCTGCTACAGAGAATTAAACACTAGCCGCTTCATTCCTTTTCTAGTTAGTTTATTTTCGCTGCAAGCTTGTTGAGTTTTTCAGTCCAATTGCTCTAAAACTATGTCAATTTTGTGTTACAAAACTCTATAAATTCATATTTTTAGTCGAATACGAACTGGATAAAAATAGGGAACAATATTAAATTTAGGATAAATTTGGCTGCTACGAATCCAAAATAGTTCTTTAACGGGCGGTCACAAACTTGTAATGCCATAATGGTGGCTGTTAATAAAAGTCTGTGACCGGAAATCCTCAATGTTCGGTTTGTTGTCACATGTTCCTAAAAGTTTTCATTTATTTAGCCATTATTTTATTCTTTTTTCGTCAAGTGGGTGGCCGCTTTGAAGTCGACACGTGGATGTGGTTATAAAACACGAGAGATATTTCTTCCAAAATTTCGTAGTCCAGAGTCAGGGGTCGCGTTTTATATACAAGTGCGAATAATTACAGTATACCAAGGGAATATGGTAAACTTTTCACGTTTGTAAATTGTGCTCCTTTCGCCCTCATGCTCTTAGGAAAGGCATGAATCGGCTTCACCTAATAGGTCAAATCAGGGATTCTATGCTATTAGTGCTAGACTAACAGTAAGTGTAATTCCGTATTAATGGCGGACAAGGAGGGGCACAAATTTGCGTGTCTATGTGTATGTGCATATGCAGGTATGTACATGAGAGTCTATATACATGTGTGTGTGTGAGTGTGTGTGTATGTGAAAGTCTATACGAATGTGCGTTTAAGTGTGCATTTATACGATTTGAAGTCGACATGCATGTGAGTGTATGGGCTAGCTGTTTTTTGTGGCTTATCAACTCTTTGTGGCTTATTTAAAACCTATTTAAAAACATATTTTATTTAATAACATATGTTACATTGTTTTGTAGCGTACCTACGGATGATAATGGGTATGCCCCGATTTACATAAATACAGTAGTAAATACTGTATGTTGGTCTGCAGTTGAAGATTTGTCTCCAGCTGTGATGGTCAAACTCGCTTCCTCCGAGCAGACATGATCCCCAGACGAGGCTATGTCAAAGGGCAGAGTCTCGTCTCGAGAAACAGCTAACCTCCTTTTTATACGGGGTCTACAGGGAATTTTTGGCCAAGCCTACGGGCGCGGATACTCCAGATTAAATTCGGCCTTGTGCCACATCTGACCGCGTGGGGCGGTTGGTTGATATTCTGCTGGTCAAACTCTTTGTCTCCAAGTAGAGGGGATCACCAGAGGAGAGGCTATGTCAAAGGGAAGAGTCTCGTCTCGAGAAACAGCTAACCTCCTTTTTATACGGGGTCTACAGGGAATTTTTGGCCAAGCCTACGGGCGCGGATACTCCACAATAAATTCGGCCTTGTGCCACATCTGACCGTTTGTAGATATCCTGCAGTTGGAGATTCATTGTGGGATTCATTTGACTCACTTGTAGCAGTTGACTACTTCTACGCGCCGCTGGCGAATCTTATATGTGTTGTTCTTGTCCTAAGTAATATCGTTCATTACCAACCTTCATGTGATTATACTATTCAGTAACCTTCCCCAGCTTACAACAACATTTTAAGAAGAATTTTTTTTTTCTTGGCGTGGAAATATTGCATTAACAGTTTTTTTTTCCAACTACTTTCTGAAAGGATATGACATTAAAAAGAAAAGTAGCTAGTATCGTATGACGTAAGGCCGTATCGAGTAAGCATTGGGGAATACTGTGGCAATTTTCTCTAAGGGAAGGGTTAGTCTGTTTCGAAAATCAATATTCTCAATTCTGGCCTGTGGTCGGACGCCAACAAGAAAATACGTTACTGCATCAACCACTGAGCAGACCCCGAAAAGAAATAATCAATGTGCAATTCCTGTTTTGTTTTTATTTCTTTATTTTTAATTTTAGCTTTTCGAAAACAATTTGGAAAAACTTGATTTAAATTGGGCGCCATATTTCATTCTGCATTCTGTCTACGTTCCATCCGTTCTTACATTTATATATTGTCTGCCTTTTAATACCTTCTTGTCATGTTACACTTTCCTCCATTTTGTTTGTCCTTTCCCTCTCTCCTCCTCCCTCCCACCCTCACTATTTTTCTGTTCGCCCTCTCTTTCCTTCACACGCTTCATCTCTTTTTCTCCCTTTCTCTTTCTTCCCGCTATCTTTCCTTCATTCTCTTCTCTCTTTTCCTCTCTCTATCTCTTTCTCTCTCTCGCCCTCGCCCTCTCGCCCTCTCTCTCTCTTTTCTCCTCTCTCTTCCTCTATTCTCCTTTCATCTCCCTCTTTCTTTTCTCCCTGCTGCCTCTTTTCCTCTCTCTATTCTCCTCTCTTTCTTTCTTTCTTTCTTTCCCTATTCTCTCCCTGCTTTCCTCTTCCCCCCTCTCTCTCTATCTTCACTTCTTCCTCTTTGTATTTCCCTCCCTCACTTCTCTCTTTATCTCCCTCCCTTTTCCTCCTCTCTATATCTCCCTCCCGCTATCGTCATCTCTCTCTCTTTATTATCTATCTTTCTTCTCACCCTCTCTCTTTTTATTCTCTCTTTCCTCTCTCTCTCTCTCTCTCCTTCTCTCTCTTCCTCTCTCTATTCCCTCTTTCATCACCCTCTTTTTTTCTCCCTGATCTCTCTTTTCTCCCGCTCTATTCTCCTCTGTTTCCTTCTTTCTTTCTCCATTTTCTCCCTGCCTTGCTCTTTCACCCTCTCTCTCTCTTCACCTCTCCCTCTCTCTATTTCCCTCCCTTTCCCTTTCCCTTCCTCTCTTCTCTCTTTTCCGCCTTCTCTTTTCTCTTTTCCTCTCTTTCCCCGTCTCTATCACCCTCCCGCTATCGTCATCACCCTCTTTATTCTCTATATTTCCTCTCATCCTCTCCCTATTTACGCTCTCTCTTTCCTCTCACTGCCTTTCTCTTTCTCTTTCTCTCTTTTCACTCACTCACTCTCACTCCTACTCTCTCT